GGCGCCCGCTCCGGCCCTGTTTTCAACCAAACACACGAGCTCCTGGTAACGATCCCTGGGAACAGGCTGGGCTCTGGGATGGGATGGCGGCTCCGGAATGGGATGCTTGAGTGCATCTGAGCTGCCACGCTGATCCCAGGCACGGGCAGAGCCGGCTTGAGTGGCAGTGCCAGGCTTTCCAGCTTGATACCCACCTCCATGGTCGGCTGCCTGGAGCTGGGCTCCGCACGGAAACCACAGGGGTTATTCGGCAGGCAGCTCGGCCATGGCGCTGGCACTGCCCACGCCACGAGGGATGTGCTGGGGGCACGCGTGTGGCTTGGGAGGGCTCGCTTCCTGCCAGCTCAAAGCCTTCTGCATCCTAGCCACCTGCTTTATAGAACACGGGAGAAGGAAGAGGTTGTCTTCTTCTGGGCTGGCTTCAGCCTCACGCCCAGTGAGGGTCTGCCAGTGACGGTCTAGCAGTAAGTGTCTACCAGCGGCAGGCTGGGGGTGAGGGCTGGGGGGTTCTTATCCCTCCTTTGGGCGGGTCGGAGGGAAGTGGTTGCTGGCTGTGCCTCTGAATGCGCTTCCTGAGATCCAGTGTTCCTCCCACGAAGACTTGTTGTTGGGGAGGGCTTTAACCCTTTCCTGACTCCATTGCCCAGCCACAAAAACGAGGTGCCCAATGCCCAGGGCAAGGCTGTTCTGCACGGCCTCGTGGGCTGCGGAGCTGCTGCCTGTCCTTGTGCGGGCTTGGAGGCTGTGCGCAGGAGGAGCATGTTGTGACAAGGAGAGCAGGCCAGGCCTCCTGGGAAATTCTTCACCATGAGGGTGGTGAAACACTGGCCCAAGTTGCCCAGAGAAGCTGTGGCTGCCCCCTCCCTGGCAGTGTCCAAGGCCAGGTTGGATGGAGCTCTGAGCACCCTGGTCTGGTGGAAGGGGTCCCTGCTCATGGCAGGGGGGTTTGGAACCAGATGATCTTTAAGGTCCCTTCCAACCCAAACCATTCTGTGATTCTATGACTCATCCCCTGCCCGTGCATGGCTCTGGTCAGGACCCGGCGGTGGAGCAGGGGGGGGTACCTGTGTCAGGGCGGCTCTGGAGGGGAGTTGTGGGTGCTGACACGCTTTTGATATGGGGAAATCAAGACCGGGAAGGGAATTTCTGCCTGGCTTTAAGCTTGTGTGTGGCAAGCACAGCAGCTCTGGCATCCCCAGGTGCAGCAGCAGAGCGTGGCATTCGGGAGCAGCACATCCCCTTCCCTTGCATGGCTCTGGTCAGGACCCGGCGGTGGAGCAGGGGGGGGTACCTGTGTCAGGGCGGCTCTGGAGGGGAGTTGTGGGTGCTGACACGCTTTTGATATGGGGAAATCAAGACCGGGAAGGGAATTTCTGCCTGGCTTTAAGCTTGTGTGTGGCAAGCACAGCAGCTCTGGCATCCCCAGGTGCAGCAGCAGAGCGTGGCATTCGGGAGCAGCAGTCTTTCCTCCCCCAGCCGCTCACCCCACGGCGGAGGCTGGGGCCCTCTGTAGCTCGGCTGTCCACCGAGCACCGCTGAATGCCCACAGTTTGCGAGCCAGCAAGGAGAGCACGTGGGTCCTCATGTGGAGTTACCTCCGTAAGTTGATCTAGAAGCAAAGGGAGCTGAGCTGCTGTGGCTCAGGTGACGCAGCAGCCAGGGCAGGGACTGCAGGACCTCCCCTGGATGGCCAGCCTTGCCATCAGGCGGCTGCATCCTGCTTGGAATCCTCAGCAGAATTAGCTCCTCGGCAGCCTGCGAAGCCCCCATGGCAGAGGTCACGCTGTGGCTGGCTGTTCCCACACACTGCCAAACCGCCCAGCCTGAGTGTGCTCCTTACCCACCCCGGCCTCCTCTTCAAGCTCTCCACCACTTGCTTCACAGCTTCCAAGGGACTTTCCTCCTCCAACCTTCTCTTTGTTCCCAAGGAGGCAGCTCCAGCACGTGCGGATCCCTATGTGGTGACAGGGCTGAGTGGTGAGGGTGGCAGTGGCCAGACCACTCTGCCCAGGCTGGTTGGCACTGTCTAGTCTGGTATCTCGGTCCTGCCAAACCAGCCCCAGGAGACTTAGCACCAACAAAGACCCAACAGGGTCTAGTGGCTGCAAAGTGCCTAAGACCAACCCAAAAAGAAGTCAGTTGTCCTGAAGTGATGGGAACAGCTTCCTGGGAACGATGAGATGTTGATGTGGGTCTTCACCAAAAAATGGAAAACTTTCTAAAGACCGGAGTAGTGATCTCTGGGGAGCTGTGGGCTGCATAAGTGTGTACAAGGCTCGCCCTGTTCTTCCCTGCAAAAGGGTGTGGAGGCCCTTTAGAAAAAGCAGGTGAGGTACCGCAGCCGTGATCTGCATTATGGACCCATCACTGAAGCCAGGTGGTGACACGGCCTCGCAGGGAGATAAGTACAAGGAATATGGCCTTCAAACATCAGTCTTGGTTACTAATGTGGGCAGGAAAGCAGAGGTCCTCAGGACAGTGGGCACAGACAAGGAGAGGCCAAATTGGGGTCTCTGCCTTCGAGAAGACCATAAGGTGACGGACCTTCCATGGGACCAGCAGCTCCGTCCGTTCCGCCAGTGAAGCTTGAAGCGGTGTCGCAGGCTGCTGAGACAGCAGACACCTTGAGATATGAGTTACAGGACTACTTTCTGTGATGAAAAGCAACACGGCCCACACAAAAGGGCTTGCAGCCATTTCCCCTGCGCTAGTGAATTTGCTCTGGCCACGCGTCTGCTCTGAGGTTGGCTCCACACCAGCTTGAGAGAGACATTTTGCAGCCAGCGCGTAATTCCCTCGCAGCGGAGGAGCCAGCGGGCGGAAGGTGTCTCAGCCAGTATTTATGTTGTTTGCATTGATCCAAGCCCCAGACATGGAGCTTTTTTCTCCTTCCCATTTGTTTCTTCCCCTTGGCCGCTCTCCAGCCAGTCCTGCCCCAGCCCTGCCACCATGAATCCTCACCCGCTCCACCGGTTTGGACCAACCCAGACCCCCTTGCAGGCTGATGTCCCAGCTCGCCCGTGAGACGTGCAGCTCTGAAGGCTCAGCTGAGTGGTTATGGTGAACTCAACTGTAAAACTGCTTCCCTAGAGAGTTTCTAAAATCATCTGGGGGCATGGCTGGATGTGCTTCACATTTCGCCAGCAAGCTGTGTGCCTGGGACGAGGGATCTGGCTCCCCTGAGAGGTTTCTCTGGGACGAGTGGTTTGACCAGAGGTGCTGGTGAGGACTGACCATTCTGTTCCTCACGGACATCGATTCCTTCCTAGAAGAGTGAGACAGTGGATGCCAATCAGCCCAGCAAGGTCTGACCCTCTCCGTCCCTGTGTAGGAGCACCAGGCAGAGCTCATAGCTGGTGCTGCTCCGAAAGTCGGCTCCCTCAGCGAGCGTCCCTCCACGGAGCGTGTCGCGCTGGTGCAGTGCAGTCCTTGGGCTCAGGCCAGGCGAAACAGCTTCCCCACCACGCCGTACCTGCGCTGCCTCCCTCGGCGCTTTTCCATTTCACTGCTAGTCTGACGGACAACGTTTTCTGACACGCGCAGGCTGGACTGTAAGTGGTGCTCGGGGAGGATTCGGAGAGTGGGTGGTATCCTGGTGGGTCAGGCGCTCACTCAGAGGCGCGCACGTAAGCCCAGGAGCAGAATTTCCAATCCTTTGCAGTCAGTGCCCCGAGACAGTGGTTTGACCACCAGTGTTACATGTGATGCTCCATTGCCAGCTACGTGTTGCCAGAGCTCTGCTGGAATATTGATTCAGTACCATGTTAGAGGGAACTCGATTAACTAAATGGCCATCTTCCCAGCGTGGCATGGTTTCAGATAAAATGTTATTATGCGGGAGTCATCCCCACTTTCTGTGAATATAAGGATTAGATTCACCAGCTTTAAAAGCAGCATGAGATGTTATAGAAGACAAAACTGAACACAATCTGTATTTGAGGGCTGTTCTGTTCCCTGCACAGACGACAATGGCACGATTGCTCTGAATCATAAAATCATAGAATGATAGAATGGTTTGGGTTGGAAGGGACCTTGAAGATCATCTGGTTCCAACCCCCCTGCCATCAGCAGGGACATCTTCCACCAACCCAGGCTGCTCAGAGCTCGATCCAACCTGGCCTTGAGCACTGCCAGGGAGGGGGCAGCCACAGCTTCTCTGGGCAACCTGTGCCAGTGTTTCACCACCCTCATGGTGAAGAATTTCTTCCTAATATCTAATCAAAATCTGCCCTCTGTTAGTTTACAGGCATT